GAGGAAATACATCAACTTTGCGCTGTGGATCACTGGATCGGCTTTCACCGTGGATGAAGCGGAGTCCAGCCCGGGGTCGTCACGTCATGTCCTTCCGGACGCTCCTTCGTCTAATTTGCACCGTTCTCCAACCCACCCGCCTCTGCTCACTCTAACCCTCCTGCCGTTCCTCACGCTAGCCCCCGGCCTCTGCTCACTGTAGGCCGCGGTGTGTGACACTGTTTCATTGCGAAAAAATTGTCTCAGTGGGTTTGGTTATTTATAAACTATCTGTATAAAAAAATAGAAGAAGTCTATGCAGTGTCTTCATTTAGATAGCTATGTAAACGTGTGCGTGCTACCCCTCGCAGAAATCGTACAATTCTACTAATTAGCCACCTCGTAAAATATGTACCAATCGGTCTTGAGATAGCGTTGTAGTGTCTCTGGTCAGTTGTCGCGTAATGGCCTGGTGAATTTCAACAAAAAGTTATTATTTAGATAATTAGACGACATACATTTTTTTCGTGATAGTTCTGCTGAGTTAAATTTGCATTCGTAGTGTGTTCAGTCACCTAAAGAACTGAAAGCACAACTGCTCGAGACTCACTTAAGATGTTCTGCATGTTCTGCGCCACTAGAGGGAGTGTGATTGTTTTTCAGATGAGTGAAGACCCAACTTAATCCAGCTGCACCAGCTGCAGACCCGCAGCCCCACACGTTTCAGGACACACAATCCAGACCACACGATCCAGGCCGGAAGTAAGGCGAATATGGAGCCAGATCAGCCTCAAAAATAACACATTTGCAAAACAAAATTCATAAATGCACAGCACAATTTACATTTACAAAATCCAATTCGTAAATTCAAAACACAATTCATAAATACACAAGTAAAAGCATAAATATTTCCACAAATGCATCTTACCTAAATACATTTAAAATGTTTACACAAATATGTATATATACATTTCTTGAATTAATTCCCATCACACATTTATGAATGATGTTACATGTATTTATGGATCGTTGAATCTGCATTTGCAAATCGCCAGCGCGCAGGACTGCTTTGAATTTGTGTGTGGTATTTTTGAGACCTTCCTGGCAGGTTAAGATTCATAAATATCTTTTTTTGGAGGATGTTCTGTTCAGCCAATTGCGGTGAGCTTTTAATCCACCAATCAAAACACTCTTTACTGAACAGACTCAAGAAGCTCAAGCTGCGCTTGTACTGTGCAGTGTTCCATGATCGGGTCCTTGATGTAAAGAGATTTTAGTGGGTACTCTCTTATTTAATTTTTTTTAGCACCTGATTACAAATTTATACAAAATCACATTATAATTTATATCGTTCGCACAAAATACAGCTACCCGGTTAGCCTGCTGTATTCAGATCAATCTGTAATGTTATCAAATAAGTGTTAAATGTCCAGATATTTCATTTAATAACAACAATTATGTAATGTCTTCTGTTGTTATTAGTAGTAGTAGTAGTATCAGGTTCGCAGTAACTTTTGATCAGGCATTAAAAACAGCTATCAGCACCGAACGGAGATTTCGAACACACACAGCGGAGAGATTTCAGCACGGAGGATGAAAACCACACTCAACCAGTGAGTAAAGTCGTTTTTTATCTGATGGCATTTTCTTATGATTAAAGCTGGTTTTAGTTAATTAAGTGTGCAGTGTAACGCCAGCTTTCTTATAGTATAACTGGTGTTTGTAGACTTTAGTAATCACAGGATGAGTGGGCGATAAACAATCAGTAAAACAACGATTTCGATGCTAAACTATTGCATAATTTTCAATACGATTTGTGGTCAGTGGGTTCTAAAGTTACCATTGCGACCAGCTTTAATCATAAGAAAATGCCATCAGATAAAATAACGACTTTACTCACTGGTTGAGTGTGGTTTTCATCCTCCATGCTGAAATCTCTATCTGTTATAACAGCTGCAAGCGTATGCAGAGTTTCTATTTAGGCTATAACACGTGTTTGCAGCGTTGAGCAATGCAGTGCTGAAATCTGCGTGCTCACGAATCCTCTCATTATAACACACGAATTGTAGACATTATGAAAGATTAATTATGCTTATATTTATTGTGTTATAACAGAGATTTGTGAGATATAACTATGAACTGAGATGTCTTTTAGAGTCTACAAATACAGCGCTCTTTGCTGGCATTCTGTCATACTGTAATAACGCGCAGTTGCTCTGTAGAATGTGTGGCTAACTGGAGCTAAGTTAGGCTAAGAAGCTGCTGCGAAGCTAATCGCTAAAAGGATGCTAACATTTACACTCCAGACTTCTCATTACATTATTGGTAAGTACGAAGTATTCGCAAACACCGCACGATCTTGAGTATCTTTGTGCATAGAAGCACATACAGAACATATCAATAGATGGCAGTACTATCATCATCCTTCTTTAAATTTTAACACAAACTAAAAACATACACAGTCATGGCCATATCGCCAAGTGTCTCCCTACACATCTCTCGCCATGACGGTGACAGCCACACTTTTTATAACAAGGCAGTAAATGAACCAAACCCACCCGAACTAAGTTGAACATAAACACAAATAACATTGCTAACGCAAAAACCCAACCATCTTGCTTAATTAACACATAAATCAACTCTAAACAAATACCCATAATGCACCTGGCTGCTAGCGCTCACTGCCGGGTCATTACAATACCAAACCATGCACACAGCAGCCGCTTGCTTTAGTTAAAATAACAGTGTTCTGTGAATGTTGATGCTTTAATAACAAATACTTATCGGGAGCGTGTATGCTTGGATTTCATAAATGTAATGGAGAATAAAGTAACAGTAACTAGTAATGTAACTAATTACTAATTACTTTTGAAATAAAGTAATCAGAACAGTAACATTATTACTTTTAAAAGGGGTAATCCGTAATCAGTAATTTAATTACATTTTCAGAGTAACTTGCCCAACACTGCCCATTGAAATCTCTTTACATCAAGGACCCGATCATGGAACACTGCACAGTACAAGCGCAGCTTGAGCTTCTTGAGTCTGTTCAGTAAAGAGTGTTTTGATTGGTGGATTAAAAGCTCACCGCGATTGGCTGAACGGAACATCTTCCAAAAAAAGTTATTTATGAATCTTAACCTGCCAGCAAGGTCTCAAAAATACCACACACAAATTCAAAGCAGTCCACGCATGTGTGACGATTTGCAAATGCAGATTCAACGATCCATAAATACATGTAACATCATTCATAAATGTGTGATGGAAATTAATTCAAGAAATGTATATATACATATTTTTGTAAACATTTTAAATGTATTTAGGTAAGATGCATTTGTGTGAGCATTTGGGGAAATATTTATGCTTTTACTTGTGTATTTATGAATTGTGTTTTGAATTTACAAATCGGATTTTGTAAATGTAAATTGTGCTGTGCATTTATGAATTTTGTGGCTGATCTGGCTCCATAAAAAATGTCTTAATTTGTGTTCCAAAGATGAATGAAGGTCTTATGGGTTTAGACAAAAAAATAATAATCATGTACTCTTCTTGACTAAATCACTTCAGTACCTTACATAAGAATCAATTTGCATTCACTTCATGCAGAGAGAACTATGCATTGTTTTGTTTTTACATTTTGGTTATTCAAATTATGAAAATTACAAATACCTAAACACAAATGCACAATTTTCCTCACCACCCCTAGTAACACCAGAAAAAAAGAGAAAACGACTATGGCATTCAATACAATAATGTGCATATTATTTATTTAGTATAAAAATCTAGCTAAAACATATCTTAAATAACTTTGTATGCCTATGTAAACAGTGATGCTCAAATAAATATATTTTTGAAATTGATCAAATATATTTATCTTCGACCATCATATACCAAAAGTTATTTAAAATGTATTTCATAAGCAAGAAAACACATTTCCAATTTCACAATAGCCTACATTTAGGCTAAATGCAAATGTGAATGAATGGCCTATTATATAAATAATTATTAATCAAAAGTTATAAATAATGATTATAATGATTTCATAGTTAGGTCTTAAAGTGACATCAGCCTAATACACCTGCTGCTGTCTATCTCATTAATGAAACCACAAAAGACAGAAAGAAAATCACTCACTGCTCTTGACTAAATAATGTATTTAGTTCATACACTGAAGACTATGGAGAGTTTTATTTTACAATTGATTATTATACTGGTATCATACTGAAGTCATAAATTTGTTATTGTGTCAACACTACCCTGTCAATGGAGATGGTTTAATAGATGAAGCAGACAATAATAGCACTTAAAGGCAGAGTGAGGGATTTTTCAAAAACGCTTTAAAAACTGTCTACAACAGCTAAAGTCTGCCTACACTGGACGCGATCAAACGACCGTTGAAAACCATTTGAAATTTGTGTCAGCACGTCATAAATAGAACCCGGCAGCAGTTTTCTGTCGGGATTTGTTGTGCCGCGCCGCTCACGTCCGTAGGCACGGTGTAACATTGGTTTTGCTTTGTTTCACAGAACTAATCGTTGCCTGGGTTGCGTACGTATATGTGGGGCGGAGCTATCAAAATAGGGGCAAGACCCTTTTGGGGTAGGGGCGTGTTTGTTTTGGTGATTTCAAATATAAACATTGGCTACCAGAAATCCCTCACTCTGCCTTTAACTTGACAATATTTTATAAACATTTGACACTTAAACTGCAGGTGAATATGTTAAATGGATTAACCTAATTAACTTAATTCCTAATAGTAGCTTGTTTTGTCTCTGTACTTAAGAATCAGAGTGGTTTTTGACCATTTGGGTAATATAGATTAAATATATACTAAACTAAAGGCTCTTCATATAGACAAATGTCTTTACTAGCACATTTATCACTAAAATAAACTTATTGTAGTAGGTTTACAAATGCGTAATAACATTACTGTGTGAAGATATAAACAGCCTTTTAGTAGCTTCTGTTACGATTAGCTGGCTACTGAGTAATGCTAAAAGTTATGACGAGTCACAAATAGTTTAGTAAATCAGGCGATATGCAAAAGCACACAGCACCAGAAATAATAACACTACTGACAGGATCATTAATACTCTGTGTCTCTCCAGGAAAGATCTATCCTCTTCAACTTGCTCAATTTTTAAAGTAACTTTAGCTGGGACGACACGCAGCGGGCCGGAGCGCTTTTCTGGGATCACAAATGGAAAGAGCTCCATCCCTGTCGGCAGTTGAGAAGTTGTTGCTAAAAGGCAATTACAATCAGCATTAAAATAGCTTACATTCCTCCACCATCCTCTCTTCTTGTCATAGCAATCCTCTAGCTTTATGCGCACTACCTGGGGATGTTCCATCATCCCAAAGTTTATCTGAGTGTTTAGGAAACTATACAGATCTCCATTGCGCCTGAGACCCCAGGAGCAGGGGTTTGCTGGGTTCAAAATTTGCACTATAGACCTGTCCACTGATCCAAAGCACACTCCAAGGCTCCAGTGGCGACTTTTTCCCACCTCAATGTCCCACGTATGAACGCCACTACCATATCCCGCGCTCCCCAGCACCATACGGCTCCTGTGCAGAGGAATAGGGTTGGGCTCGTCCTGCCGATTAACACATGAGGTCACAGAGGTCAGGTCGTTTGACATGGAGACGTCTGATGAAGCTGTGTTTGGGTTCAGGATCACAGGGTCTGGAAAATATCAGCTTAAGTCAGTTTAAGGATTAAACAGTGTTATGCATGGGTCAAAGTTTTTAAATATTCTTCCATATCATGTCTTCTTTCAGATTAGTAGAAAAGCAAACAAACTAAATACACATTAAAGGTTTATTTTTTATTTACTTTATCTATTTGCATTTGTAGAACTTAAAGGGTTAGTTCACCCAAAAATGAAAATTAGGCTATAAATTACTCACCCTCAAGTCATCCTAGGTGTATATGACTTTCTTCTTTCAGACGAATCTAGTCGGAGTTATATTAAAAATTGTCTTTCATCTTTCAAGCGCTATCATTGCACTCAGCAGATGTTGCATGCATCAGTCCAAAAAAGGTTAAATAAAAAGCGCCCATCCATAAAAAAAGTGTCTCACACGGCTCCGGGGGGTGAACAAAGTCCGTCTGTAGCGAATCGATGCATTTTTGTAAGAAAAACATCCATATTCAAAACGTAATAATCACTTGAATGTAGCTTGCGCTCACAGTTGTACACGGAAGCAGCTCCGGGAGGATGACGTATGAGTTCAGCGCTGCGCATGCGCTGGTGAGTCTCGTGAAAATCAGCGTTTGTTTACAGGAGAAAAGGAAGCAAAGTTTCCTTACTTTAGCAAAGGAAAACCAGTCTCCTCT